TCAGAGCACATTTTATGACCAATTCATGCACAACTCTGTGTAATCCCAAGGGGTTCACATACTTTTTCTTGCAACTGTACATATTTCTGTTTTAATCAGCAATAAACCAAATAAGTCCAGCAAAATCTTTATATTATTTTTGTCTTAGTTACTGATATCCAGGCTGGTTTTTCTTTATTGCATTGTTTCTCAAAACTGAAGTATCTCTGCAATTGTAAATTGCATTAAATGAAATTAAACATTAAAAGATATACTATGTAAACTTTAAAAATAGAGATCATTTCTGGCAAATATCCAATGGCTGCATTATTCAAAACATATTCATTGGATAATAGTGATGTGATATTCTAGCCACATAATAGCCCAAATCTAATTCTGGCACCATGTTATATGCAAATGTACTTGTTGTTTTACTTTTCTGACAATGCAACATTGAAATGTAATGTCTGAGAAAACAGTAGTTGAAAATCTTTATAATGACATCAAGTGCTTTTTGTGATAAATGAATACATGTATTTTCTTCTTTATATTTATAATAATTTAGGTAATCTACAAGAAATCCCAAATAGCCTGTCCTCTCCCAGTCTTGGACAATAAAGTTGGGAACTGGTCCTATAATGATACTGCAGTTCTGCTACATGTAGTGGGGTTACCAAATGATTCTGCTAATTTGGAATTAAATTTGATGATGGACAGCACTAACAAACAATATTCTTCAGTTTTTGAAGAAACCAAAGCTAAGCTACATCAAAGTGGAGTAGAATATGAAGCCCATAGAGAAGACAAAAACAAATGCCAAGCCAAGTATTTTATGTTTAACTCACGGGTAAGAGCCTGTTATCATATATCCAACAGAAAATAACCTCTATAAATGTTGATCTTCTCCATTAAAGAGTGAGTTCTGGAAATTTTAAATATGTGAACTATATTGGTCACTGCTGAAACCTGAATAGTGGCCATATGTTGTTGGATCATGGTTAGAAGAATATACAGTAGAAGCAATAGTCCCATAACCAATATTGTCCTCATTCTCCTACTTTCCAAATTTAACATAAGATATGTTTGAGTCACTTCCTTTCAAAATAGATCTCTGGCTACCACCTTCTTGGTCTAACTCTGTTCATCTGGGCTTCTGACTTGCTTAGAGCTTTAACATTAATTATTGCATCTTAGCAATCAGAGGTGGGTTCCTACAGGTACAGTTTGGTTCAGCTAAATAGGTAGTAACTCCGGTGGACACATGGCCATACAGGTTCTATTGGCGGCGCCATAGTCGCCACCATCTTGTTTTTTGCTTCTCCACAGAAGCATTTTTAGTACTGTGTATGTGCCCCACCCTGCCCAGTCTCTGCTCTGCAACTTGCCTGCCTGAAGCGCTGTGCCCCTGATCTGTCTGCCAGGTAAGCCTGCAAGTCATGGCTTAGCTAGCTGCCCTGCCCCCTTCCATGCAGCCCGCAGCCCTGCCATGCTACTCTGCCTTCCATGCGGCCTTCCCAGCAGTCTCCATGCCCACTTGCCTTCCAAGGTTGGCGTCCAGCTCAGCCTGGTGGCCTTTGGGAGAAATGCAGATGCTGCACCGTGGCTGAGAGGCGCAGTGGTGCTTTGGGAAAGTAAGTGGACATCCTGGGGCTGCTGCACATGCTCCTGCCCCATTCTGCAAAGGCAGAGCCCATGCTTCAGGGTAATCCAAAGAGGGGAGGGGAATGCTGCAGAAAAGACTGCCTTCCACCTGGACCCGCATGTCTCCCGTGCCAGCTCTGTGGGGCTTCAGACTCTGAAGCAGCCCACTGGCTTCCCACTGCAGCCCTTGGTGGAGACACAAGGACTGCTCTGGGGCTGACAGGGCAGGCAGTGCACATGTGCAGCAGCCCCAAGGACATTCACTTGGCACCTGCCCTCCTAGAGCGCCACCGCCACCGCCTCTGCCTCTCTCAGCCCCAGAGCAGATGGGATGGTTGCATTGAGGGGAGGAGGGGAAAACGCAGGGGGAGCGGGCAAGCCAGAGCCTGGGCAGCCCCAGATGGGATGGTTACATTGAGGAGAGGGAAATGCGGGGGGAGCAGGCAAGCCAGAGTGTGGGTGGTCGCAGATGGGATGGTTGCATTGAGGGGAGGAGGGGAAAACGCAGGGGGAGCGGGCAAGCCAGAGCCTGGGCAGCCCCAGATGGGATGGTTACATTGAGGAGAGGGAAATGCGGGGGGAGCAGGCAAGCCAGAGTGTGGGTGGTCGCAGATGGGATGGTTGCATTGAGGGGAGGAGGGGAAAATGCAGGGGGAGCAGGCAGGCCGGAGTGTGTATAGCCGCAGATGGGCGAGCGGATGCGGAGCAGAGCGGAGGGGATAACTGCATTGAGGGAAGGAGGGGAAAACACAGTTATGTAGGACAGCCACCTGTCTGCCTGGGACCTGCTTCTTCCTCTCCCAGTTCTCTCTGCATGCCCACTTTTATTCCTGCAAAACATGGCATCAGCCATGAGGAGGAGAAGCAGGGCAGGCAAATGGAGGCTCCGTGTGGAAGGTGAGAGTGCAGTGGCGGGGAA